TAAAATTGCTGAGGATTGGAAGGTTTTCGAACTGTTGAGAATTTGAATACCTTTCGGTACTATGAAATATCCGAAACTATGGTGAGATCCAGTGTTCAGGACTGACTGCAGGGACTCAAGAAATACGTTTACGAAGTGTTAAAAAAAAAAAAAAAAAGCCATCTGGAAACTTGGCAGTAAGTATTCTTAATGCAGAGATGCCAGACCTGAAACCTGACTCTGCTCAGAAAAGTGGAAAGGTATAATAAGTACAGGGAAGTTGTAAATCCTCTCTTGGGTTTAAGCAGAGAGGGAGCAAGAGGATGCAGAAAAAGAACAGAGGGAGTCTCCTCTTGAAAGCTGATCAGTTTGATTGATTATTCAACACACACTTAACAACCTTTCTTAACTCATGGGCAAAACCAAATAGAAGACTAGACAAAGGACTTGTCAAGCCTTTTATATCAGAGGATATTGAAGAAACATTCTACACTGAGAAAGACTCATTTTCATTAGTAACCACAGAAATGTGAACAAAACCACAAGAAGATATTATATGCACAACAGAATAATTAAAATTGAAATGACTAAAAATCCCACACATATATGTAAAGACCAAAATAAAACAGTGAACATAGGATTCAACACACACACACACACACACACACACACACACTTTAGTGTTACCAATCTCAGCATTTATGTATACGAATTTGGGAGACTGGGGTGTGTTTCAGTTTATCTTAATGTGTGAAGATCTGAATTCAATTCTTGCCACTGAAAATAAAAATTCTTTTTGATTACTTACTAGTCCACAGTGCAGATATCTCATATCACGGGAACAGCCATCTATAGGATTTATTATTTACAGGAGACACATACTCTAACTCAACATCACTTTAACAGACCATAACCTTATGATCATGATTTTTTTATTACTCCACTTTACTGATGAGACGATGCAAAGATAAACTTGTCTAAGACTCTTTTTGGTTTTTATTTTTGATTTTTGGGTCACACCCAGAGATTCTCAGGGGTTACTCCTGACCCTGCATTTGGAAATTACTCATGGTGGTCCTCAGGGGACCCTATGGGATGTCAGGAATCAACTACACATGCACTTCTCTAACAGCAGAAAGAGCAATGTAAGCTAAACTTGTCACTCTGGTGGCTCTCAAGCAACATTCCATACCTTGCCAGAGATCACTTAGCAGTGCTCATCAATCCCTTGCATTAATTGGAAAATTCTCTTCCCCACCAAGCTGTCTACAAGACACCATGCCCCAGACCAGATGGTTGAAAGGAATTTCAGCAAGGTTTACTGTTAGAGAGAAGAAGGCAGAAGCACCAGCTGCTCCAGCTTCGCTGCCTTTTTCTCCTGAGATCCAACTGCCTTGAAATATGGATCCTTCCCTCCACTAAGAGCTGAGAGTCAACTTAGCAACTTGAATGTTGAGTCTTGAATGTTGCTCTCCATTTTCCATTCTCTCCTTATAGAAATGTTTACATAGAAATGTTACTCACCAGGGTCCATAGATAGAATTTAGTTGGTTATTTGGTTAGAAGTGGAGGGAAATTACATCTTTTTCTCCCCTCTTACTATTATTGACCTGAAAGGACTTCCTTAATAAAGGGAAGAGGCAAATTAATAGCAACCTTACCAGTGATTTTGTCATCGATAGAAATGTTATTTTTTATATCACCCTCCTGATTACTTGATGCTCATCACCTTATGGCTTGCTGCTCTTCAAAATAATGGTAGTGTGGGCTGGAGAAACACACAGTGAGTAAGGCCTTGCACCCCACCTAGGTTTGAGCTCCAGTGCTGCATATGGTGAGGAGTGATCCCTGATTTAGATGTGGCCCCCAAACAAACAAATAAAAATAAAAACTTGTGATTAGGGGCTGGAGCGATAGCACAACAGGTAGGGCATTTGCCTTGCACTCAGCCGACCCAGGTTAGATTCCCAGCAACCCATATGGTCCCCCGAGCACCAGCAGGAGTAATTCCTGAGTGCATGAGCCAGGAGTCTGACCTGTGCAATGTTAATTCTGTGCAACGCCAGGTGTAACCCAAAAAGAAAAAAAAACTTGTGATTTTTTTTAGAAATAGAAATAGAAAGCTCACCTTTTTATTCCTCAGTTCTTTCCTATTTTTTTACTTAATTGGTTGTACTTTCTTTCACAGGAAATTTGCAATAACAATCTCACTTTTCTGCGTTTTATTGATCTCTTGACCAAGAGCTGGCTTAGTCCTTCTTAAAAGAACCAAAACTAACATGACAGATTACTTAAGAGCACAGGAGAAAAATATAATTGGATTAGTAATTGAAAAAAAAACTAAACTAAGGCACAAATGAGTTCGAGGCGCCATCTACTGGAGCAAGTGAGATTTAGATAAAATAGTTTTATATATAGCATGTCTACCATATTGGAAAAGATCTGCATTACTGTCCCACACCTCTCTATAAAACAGAGTGGGAAAAAAAATCTGTTTCTCCCTCAATACTTTTCACAAGACTTATCCTGCACCATTTGAACAACCCTTCAATCCCTGGAAGATCATGGAATACATTGCACATTCAAATGTATTACTGGGAGTATGATGCCGTCAACAGACCAACCTGTACCCGCGGGGCTAGTGCATCAGTAGCCTGATGGTGCCTTCAGGCTTCCTGACACCCCAAAATTGCCACTGTGCCTTTGGCCAGACCCCAACAACTTGAGACCAAGTTTACCAAGAAATTAAATGGCCAAAAGTTAGGTATGTGGGAGCCATGCCCACAAGCCACCTCTGGCTCAGCTATACAAGCTCATTTATTGGCCTTATTTCAGAGACCCATAGATAAATCTCGAAAGAGACCAAAAGCCACAGTTAATCTTGGACCCATGCATGGCTGAACAGACTGGGGTAAATCGGAGGGGGCAGGTTAGCTTGTGCCTGCCCAAGCAAAGTCCCCAGCAGCTTCCACAATCCAAAATCGCCACCATACCCCCAGCCTGACTCCACCCATCTCAGGACAGACCTCACCAAGATATAACCTGCTGAAAATTTGGGTATGCAGTTTTTGTGACTGAAATCTCCAGGCTTTCACGGAGTTGGGGTGGACTACCTCCTCCCACTTCCCAATACACATGGAAGCACTGGCAGTCACTCCCACAAACTAATTCCAGCGCCACTCTGTAAACGCTATTATTGGCCTTGCTTCAGAGACCCATAAATAAATCTCGAGAGAGATCAAAAGCCAGAGACACAGGAGCAAATCCTAGAAGACACCACAGAGCCAGAGATCTCTCTGGGCCCCATACTGAGCCAATTTCACCAGGGTACCCCAGATGGAGTAGGTGCACTCTCCCTGCCTATTCCAGATGGAATCCCGGAGACCAAGAGCTTCCACAAGCAAGGCCCAGGTATGCGGGTTCCAGGACTAAATCCCCATGCCATATGGCGGCAGAGGTGCCAGGCTGTTCCTCCCCAGCTCCCCACCTGCTCTTGGGCCTGGCTGTCACCCCCACAATTTTCCTCTGGGAGTCATCTTAGCACACCAACAGCCCTGGCCCAGAGACGCCCAATTGAATCCCAAAATGGATCAGTGCCCTATAGAAATGTCTCCGGAACCCAACCATTTATAATCTAGGATTCCAGAAGTGCGCAGCCGCGGCACCCATGATATTCAAAATGAGCAATGGACAATAAATGATCTAGCATCTGCCTCTGGCAGGCAGGCGTGAATGGTGGTGGGAAAATTCGAGCAAAACATAATGCCCAAAAGTGGAGAGAGAATAATGGGGAAATTGCCTGCCATGGAGGCAGGGTGAGGACTGGGATGGGGGTGGGGGGAGATATATAGGAGACATTGGTGGTGGAAAGTGTGCACTGGTGGAGGGATGGGTGTTCGATCATTGTACGGCTGAATCTCGAACATGAAAGCTTTGTAACTGTATCTCACAGTGATTCAATTTAAAAAAAAGTAATGTGGAGTTCATGCCCAATTCAATCAGCTTAATCAATGACTGAATAAATAGCAGTACTCTTACATTAAAAATGTATTACGAACATATTACAGTTCTTACTGTTTCAGGGCCCAGAAATAGGCCTTCATTCTCCTTGTCAGCATCAAGATGTAATGACTCTAAAGAATGTGTGCCCTAGAAAGAAGGGTCCTGTGTTTAGCTGGTCATGGTTTGTGGTCTTTCTGTGATATAGCTCAGAAGGAAGAATTAAAAATCCAATGAATTTTCTTATGTATGCTTACATATTATTTTGGTTTTGGGGCCATACCCAGCAATGCTCAAGGGTTACTCCTGGCACTGAGCTCAGGAATTACTCCTAGTGGTGCTGGTGCTTCGGGAAACATATGGGACCTGGGGATCAAACCCAGGTCGGCAGAGTACAAGGCAAACACCATACTCACTGTACTATTGTTCTGGCCCCCAGATTTTACATAATCACCATGAACTACGAAGTTATTCATGATCCAGCTTCAGGTGTACAATGTTCCAATGTCAATTCCTTCACAGTGTCCCTTCCACCAGTGTCCTCATTTTCCTCTCTCATCTACCAGCCTACCTCTATGGCAGGCATGTTTTAGTTTTTAAAATTTTGTTGTTAGCCCATACGCAGCAGTGTTCATGGCTTACTTACTCTCAGCTCTGTGCTCAGGGCTCACTCCTGGCAGGCTCCGGGTACCATAAGAGGTGCCAGGGATTGAACCTGAATAAGCTGCATGCAAGGCAAGCATCCTACCCACTGTACTATCCTCTGGCCTTCAATTATGTACTTTTACATGACTGACCAGTTGGCTCGATTGATAGCAGTGGGGAGGGTGTTTGCCTTGCATGCAGCTGACCTGCGTTTGATACCCGGCATCCCATATGATCCCCAGGGCACTGCCAGGAGTAATTCCTGAGTACCAAGCCAGGAGTAACCCCTGAGCATTGCTGAGTGTGGCCCCAAAATAAAATGATTAATCACATGATGTTTAGAAGCATAGAAAAAAAAAAAAAAACAGACACACAGGTGATAGAACAAAAGGATATATTTAAAAGCCAGAGTCCCTAAACTTTAGCTGTAGTGAGAGAAAGAAAAGTTATCAAATATGAGCAGGTCTGCTTGGAGCCAACCTCATTCATTCTTGTAAACACTGAGTATCCACCATGTGGTCGGCAACTACCCCATGAACCATCGTCATCCCCTCCCAAAAGCAATGTCTCCATTGATCAAGCCCTCAGCTCTCTCGCCAGTCTTCCTGTGCCCAGGCAGGCATGGGAGAGAAGTACTCAAAGTCTGGCCCCTTATAGCACAGGGCATGCAGGAACATCACAAGGTCCTGTGGCAAAGGGTCCTGTCGCACCAGCCGGCACTCTGCACAGAGCGGGTCTGTCTCCTGATTCCCAACACTCGTTTCAGCTGCCTTCCCTGGTGCTGAAGCCTCGGCGTCCAGATCCTGGGGGGCTGTTTCCACTGTTCCCTCCACTTTTTCAGCAGGAAGGGTCAACTCACTGAGGTGGTCCTTGCCCAGCTCTGAAGAAGCAGCTGCAGAGTCTGCGAGTCCTGGGGGCAGGTCGCCCTCACAGAGGTCTAGCACATCCAGGCTCTGTTTCGCCTGGTGTTCTGCCATCAGGGCCTGCAGCAGCTCCTCATCTGTCTTGGGAATGTGGCCACCCCGGCCTCGGGAAGGGCCCCACGCAGCTGAGTTGTAGATGGGGTCATTGAGGATGGGGTGGCCCAGGAACTGGAGGTGGACTCGGATCTGGTGGGTGCGTCCTGTGAGTGGCCGGCACCGCACCACGCTGGAGTGGCCGTTGTAGCTCAGTCTCTGGAACACCGTCTCGCAGGGCTTGCCCCGAGCATCCACACGGCACACGCCTACCTTGTAAGACACCACCAAAATGGGCTCCTTGCAGATCACTTCGTCAGAGGGGAACTCTCCCTCCACGCGGCACACATACTCCTTCTCTAGCTGCAAAGAAAAGAGCACAAGTCAGCACAAGGCCTAAACTTAATGCCCCCCAGGCTCAGAGGATTTAGACCCTCGTTCCTCCACTTGCCAGTTGCACAATCCTGGCAATTACTTTGTCTCTTAAAATCCCATTAACTTGCCTGGAAAATGTGAGATTAAAAAAGCACTGACCGGGGGTCGGAGTGATAGCACAGTGGGTAGGGCGTTTGCCTTGCACGCAGTCAACATGGCCGACCCGGGTTTGATTCCCAGCATCCCATATGGTCCCCCGAACACTGCCAGGAGTAATTCCTGAGTGCATGAGCCAGGACTAACCCCTGAGCATCGCCGGGTGTGACCCAAAAAGAAAAAAAAAAAGCACTGACCTCACACAGCTGTTAAAAAGATTTAGCAAGTTGGGCTTTAATATACTTGATACTGAGCCTTATGTACAAGTACTTGATGGGAGACAGTATAGCTAGTAGGGTGTTTGCCTTGCATGCTACTGACCCAGGCCTGATCCCCAATGCCCGACTGGGTTCCGAGTTCCAGTAGGAGTGATCTCTGAGTGCATAGCCAAGAGGAAGCCCTGAGAGCCTCTGGGTATAGCCCCCCCCTCAAAAAAATAAATTTAAAAAAATTAAGAAAAACAAGTACTTGATACATTCATTACAAACAGATGCAGAATTTAAAGTTTCAAAACCACTCTCACTACCTTTTCTCCTCTACCCAAGCCTTTCAACTTCATCCAGAATCTTCCCATTAGCAGTGTTAAAAACCTTGCTTAGCCAGCAGTTTAAAGCCAGCACGTGCTTTGCATCTGGGAGTCTGGGCTCGATCCCCATGATCCCATAATCCCCTGAGCATTGCAGGGAGAAGCTAGTAGTAACAGCTATTATTATTATTATAGCAATTTCAAGAGAGCAAACTAAAGACTGGAAAGATAACATGGGGGTAGGTCTTGCATTTGGCTAGCCCCAGTTCGATCCTCAGTACTGCAAAGGGTCCCTCAAGCACTTTCACAGGTCACTCCTGAGCAGATACAAGAAAAGCCGCTGAGCACTGCCAGGTGTAGAGCAAAACAAGCAAAAAGCAAAAAAAAAAAAGCAAAAGATCAGACTATCAAGAGGGTGATGTCTGCTGGCCTAGAGAACTTTTGAAACATGAGATAATAACTGTTGGCACTTCAGAGATTAACTTTCTTGAGGGCAGGGCACTTGACCACACAACAGGAAGGCTCTCTTCAAATCTAACTCAGAGAGGCCCTTTAGCTCAGACTGTTCATGAATCCAGGAAGCAGACTGTCAGAAGTCAGGCTCACCTGCCGGTCCCGAACCTGCTCATGAATTCTCTCTGAGACAGCAGCTGTCTTGGCAAACATGAGGACCCCTGAGGTAAGGCGGTCAAGTCGATGCAAGGTGTGTAGCTCCTTAAGTTGGTGCTCCTTGCCCAGGATGAAGATGACTGTGTTGTGTCTGAAGCGGCCACAGGGGTGGACGGGAATGGAGGAAGGCTTATCTACAACCACCACGTCTTCATTCTCAGCTAGCAGGCGGATAGGCTCTGCTGTGACAGGAGGCTCATGTCTGTGCACTCTGTTCCGCAAGAAGTCATTGTCCTGTGAACGACACGGGCAAACTTAACCAACTTTACACACAGCTTCCCTGGGTCCTTATTGATACAGATGGGTAGTCCCATAAAGAGTTATGTGCATAGTATATTGTCATTTAGTAAAACTGTAGCCAGACACAGGCCAATAGTATGACAGTCACTGTCACTGTCCTCCTGTTCATCGATTTGCTTGAGCGGCCCCAGTAATGCCTCCATTTTGAGACTTGTTGTTACTGTGTTTGACATATCGAATAGATCATGTATGGCTTTGCCGGGCAGGCAAGATACTCTCGGGAGCTTGCCGGGTTTTCCGAGAGGGGCGGAGGAATCAAACTCAGGTCGGCCATATTGGGCGCTTGCAAGGCAAACACCCTCCCCACTGTGCTATCGCTCCAGCCCATTAGGATAGTAGGCACTGGAAAAGTACTAGAAGGATAGACACCAAAATGTTGATTATCTCTGGATGGTGGCATTACAAGTTTATTTTACTTGTTTGAGTTTTATCTTGAGTAAAGTTAAGGTAAACTTTTCTCAAATAGAGGGGAGAAATCTCATTACCTATGATGACCTTGAACACTACCACACTGCCCAGAGCTCTACATATGCATTTGCTCCAAACAAGTGTGTGCGCTTAGACAAATCATCTTACCATTTGAAACATTAATTTCCCTATTTGTCCAGAATATTAGGATGGGAGTGTCAAACCACCATTTTCTAAATGCTGAACTCGTCTTGTCTTGTTGTACAAGATGGGGTGAGCTAGTGTTACTGACAGGGGGCGTCTGTACCACTGAGCTGCCAATACAATTTTATTTATTGTAGTGCTGAGGGTTGAACCTAGGACTCACCAAAGTCAGGCATGAGTTTCATCCCCAGCCCCTGGAATGGATTTTTATTTGTTTGGTTTCCGGATCACACCCTGCCATGTTCAGGGCTATGCACTCAGGAATCACTCCTGGCTGTACCCAGGAGACCATATGGGATACCCGGGATTGAATCCTGGTCAGTTACACACAAGGCAATGAGGTGGTAATATCTATCTCATAAAGCTTTGGTTAGAAAGCTAAAAAGGAATGCATGAAAGAGATTAAATGTTAAAGTACATGAAATGTGTGCCTCTGTGCCCAGCACACATTAAGGAGATATAAATGATAATGTGTAAAAACTACAATGCAAGCGAAAGTGATCAGAGCTAGTGCCCCATGAGAGCACAGAAATGGCTATGAATTCCAACTTCTGCTCCTTGTTAAAAAAAAGGAGGCTGCCTTCGTGGACAGCACAACGGCTTGCATTCTGCAGCAGACGGTTGACGGCTGAGAATGGGAGACAGCGAGTTAAACGAGGGTCCCAAGAGAAAATGAGAAAGCTCGTGTATTACCGCGATTTTCCTCCAGGACCGAGACCTACTAACTGAAAAAACCCTCGCCCCATTTCCTCGCCCGCCGCCAGTCGGCCCATCGGGTCTCCACCTTGAGCACGATGCTGAGGTCCTGGACCGGCTCCTCGTTGAGGTGTAGGCGGCCGGCCCGAACCGCGGCCTCATAGTAGGCCAGGGGCTGGGCACGGAATTCCGTGCTGAAGACGTGCATTAGGCTGTGGCCCACCCAACGCCCTTTGCAGTAGGTCCGGAAGTCAAAATAATAGGGCCGCACTTTGCGCAGGCCGCCCTCGAAGTAGTAGCTGGTCTCCGCGAAGTGCTCGTCGCTGAAGCTCACCCCAGCCCGCCGCTTCTTTGGCGGCGGCACGACCCGCTCCCCGCCCCGCCGCTTCTTCGGCTTGGCGGGACCGGGAGACACAGCCGGGGCCGGCTGCCCTTCCCCCGAAGCCGACTCCGACCCGGCTCCGGACACCGCCGGCTCCGGCTGCTCTGGACTCTGCTCGCACTTCAAGTCGCCGCCCACGTTTCCGTTCTGCTCAGCCGGAGCCTTCGGCCCGCTCGCAGCCTGGGTCGCGGTCAGAACTGTTTCTGCCATCAGGCCCTTGAGGCTACCCCGAGTCCTAGGACCCGCGAAGCGCCGGACGTTGAAGAGCCCGGGCGCAACCAGCAGGAAGCAGCAGCGGCCACCCAGCCACATACCCACGCGACCAAGGCGTCTGCGTCGCACTCTGAGGACGTCACCGGATACCAGCCAATCAGCGAGCCCCGCGCGGAGGCGGGAACTGTGGAGGGAAAAAAAATGAGGGAGTTGAATGAAGAGGTGGAGCGAGCGAAAGAGTTGATTGAATGACTTGAGAAGAGGCTGTGGGTAAACAATTGTGTAGAATGAATGAAGAGGCTGTGAGGGTAAGATCTGCAGAAGTGCAGATTCCATGTGGATATGCCCCAAGTTCCTTAGGTCTGAAAACTCTTGAAAAAGACGTGATTTAAAACAAAACAGAATGAGGAATGCTGATTCTGACTATATGAAGGTCTGTGCTGCTTAAAAGGGTGGAGATTACACTATGTGGGGCCCGAGTGATAGTACAGCGGGTAGGGCGTTTGCCTTACATGTGACTAACCTGGGCTCAATTCTCCAGCATCCCATATGGTCCCCCATGCACCGGCAGGAGTAATTCCTGAGCATCACTGGGTGTGACCCAAAAAGCTGAAAAAAAAAAAGATAAAAAAGGAAATTACACTATGTGACAAAGCTTTTACTTGTAATTTCAAACACACACACTCCATACCAATGTTTTAATACCTGTCCTTTCCCTTAACAGTATGAGCATTGTTAGAAATCTTTCATTTATCTCAGATACTCCTAATGAACGATTTGAGGCTCTTCATGTTCCTGGAGTGAGCAGACGCCATTGGGCTACACTAGCACTCAGCAGGGACAAATGGGGACGTTACTGGCGCCCGCTCCAGCAAATCGATGCCTAACAGGATGTCAAGTGATCAACTGATCAAGTGACTCCTATCCTGGGATTAAAACTACAAGTGTTTCAGGATATGTATTTGTCAGAGTTCTTCATGTATGTATTTATTAGTCACTGTCCTCCCATTTTTCATCGGTTTTCTCTAGCAGGCCCAGTAACGTCTCCATTGTGAGAGTTTTTGATGTTACTGTGGTATATCGAATACGTCACAGGTAGCTTGCCAGGCTTTGCTGTGCGGGCAAGATACTCTCAGTAGCTTGCCGGGCTCTCTGAGAGGGGCAGAGGAATCGAACTCTGGTCGGCCATGTTGGCCACTTGCGAGGCAAACACCCTACCCACTGTGCTATCGCTCTGGCCCATGTATGTATAGATATGCGTATATTTGGGAGACTATAGAGTTAAGGTGCTTTCCTTGGCCTGCTGCATACCCCAGTTTGATCCCCAGCACCATGTATGGACCCCTGACTACCACCGAAGTGATCCTTGAGCACAGAGTCAGGAGTAAACCCTGAGCATCACCTGGTGTATCCTCTATCCCCCAAAACTGGAGTGTGTGTGTGTGTGTGGGGGGGATGTTAAACTCAATAGTACTTAGGGGCTGCTCCCAGCTCGGTTGATTTCCAGGGTGTTTGGGGAACCAATATGGTGCCAGGGATGGAACCCAATTCTCCTGCATGCGAAGTATGCACTGAAACTCACTGAGCTCTCTGGTCCCTTGTTAGAATTCTCAAATGCAAAATAAACCAACTCTGGATAACTTCATCAGAGAGGCAATTATTGAAAAGATAGTAATACTTTATAGATTTCGTAAGAGAACTGGAAAGCAACCTTTGAAAAAAGACACAAATCAAGAAAAGGCAAAACCTCTTACGGACCAGCCATGTAACAAAAGCATGAATTGTGTAGTAGGTGAACTATATTAAAATAAAGTTATTTGGAGATGCCAGAGAGATAGTACAGCAGGTAAGGTACTTGCCTTGCAATCAGCTGACCAGGGTTTGATCCCTGACACCACATATTGTCCTGAGCATGCCAAGAATGGTCCCTGAGAGCAGAGCCAAGAGTAAGCCCTGAGCACGACACCAAAGACCAAAAAAATAAATAAATAAAAATTGAAATAAAGTGCGTTTTTCTGTTTGTTTGCTTTGGGGTCACAATAATTGGTAGCTGCGTGTAGAGACCCAAACAAATACACAAACAACCAAAACCTTGTGACTTATATTCCAGCTTAACACAATGGCTAGACCATAACAGGAACTTGGATGTCTATTGACAAATGAACCTGGCAAATCCTCATAATTCAGTGACAGTGAAACGTGTCTCCTGTAAGAATAACAAACAAAGTCGCATCCTAATCGTTGGCGTGCTCTAAATTCAGTATAGAAGGAGACAAACACTCGCCAAGGAGATGGCCAAGGTGGTGAACCTGCTCTGGGAATTAAAAAAAAAAAAAGTCAAACTGGCATGATCGAGGTAGGAAATGGGTGGAAGGCGCTGTCGGCGAGGCTGGAACACAAAAGTAAGTGGAATCAACGTCACGCCGCCGTTTCCCAGCAACAAAAGTCCCGCCCACCGCTTCCTTGTACTCTGCTCCTCACTTCCTCACCCAGCCGCGTACCACGAGCCAATCGACGCACAAAATATCACCAGGTAGGGCGGTGGTTGGAGAACTCCTGGGATCTGTCACTCGGAGTCTCCGCCCCCGCTTTCGTCTCTGCCGCCTGCGACCGAGCGAGCACAGCCGGGCGTTTGCAGGTAGCCGTGCGGGCGGTTGCGGTAGGTGAAAGGGGCAGGGGTGCCCAGAATTTTGTGTACCGGGCTCCGGCCTCGCTGCGAATATCACAGAGGGAACTGACTCCTCTACCACCGAGAGTCCTTGGAGTCAAAGTGACCGAGGCCCGGGATCTGGACGCTTCGAGGCTCGGTGCGAGAAAAGTTCTGCTTTGGGTAGCTTCCGTATGGGGCTAGGGTTCCTTGTGTCCACTAGCATCAGCTTATTCAGCCCTCTTCCCCCCCGCCCGCGGAGAAATAGCTGACCTTTTGTCTCCAGCCCCCTCCCCTGTCTGGCAGTTCTCCTATGATTGTTCATATTTGTCGCCAGCGGTCGCCTTCCTAATCTCAGAGGTATCTCGTGAAAGATGTCCACCCATTCCTGAAGACAGAGATGAATACCATCATCTGTAAAATGATTAAAATGTCTCGCATTGTTTCTATTAAGAACTTGAAACATATATTTGTATAGCGCAGTTTCTACAAGACGTGAGCCCATAGGCTTTTGCACATGACATTGCTCTCAGACAAGACACTTTCTTCCAAGCCGCGCTTTAAATGTCGTCATAGATAGAACTGTGCATGACCCTTAATCATTTTCATATGTACAGTTAGTAGCATTCACATTGTTCTGTGACCATTACCAACTCTAGAACTTTTTTATTTCCTCCAACTGAAATCATGTATGATTAAATAGTAACCCCCTTGTCCTCCCAATTTGTAAACAGCCCCATTTTACTTTCTGTTTCTGAATTTGATTACTATACATATGTCATATAAGTGGTTCATCTATTATCTGTCTATATTTGTGTCTGGTTAGTAGTTCCTTTGTTTGTTTGGTTTTTTTGTTTGTTTGTTTGTTTTGTTTGGGGACTACCTCCAGTGGTGCCCAGGGCTTACTCCTTGTTCTGTGCTCAGGGATTACTCTTGGCAGAGCTCAGGGAACCATATGAGGTACCAGGAATTGAACCAGGGTTGGTCTTGTGCAAGGCAAGTGTCTTAACCCCTGGACCTTTCCCCACAGAAGTTCCATTTTTATTTATTATTATTATTATTATTATTATTGCTTTTTTGGGGTCATACCAGGCGATGCACAGTTACTCCTGGCTCTGCACTCTCCAGAATTATTTCTCACGGTGCTCAGGCGACCATATGGGATGCTGGGAATCGAACCCGGGTCGGCTGTGTGTGAGGCAAACGCCCTACCTGCTGTGCTATCACTCCAGCCCCCAGAAGTTCCATTTTTAAATATAAAATTAATTAAGAAAACACATGAATTTGGAACCAGATAAGAAATTTAGTTTGTCATTTTTATCTACAACATAGGAAAATTGTAACCAATTTTTTTTTCTTTTTGGGTCACACCTGGTGATGCTCAGGGATTACTCCTGGATTTGCACTCAGGAATCACTCTTGGCGGTGCTCAGGGGACCATATGGGATGCTAGGAATCGAACCCAGTTCAGCCGCGTACAAGGCAAACACCCTACCTGCTGTGCTATTGCTCCAGCCCCGAAAATTATAACCAATTTTGAAGGTTTTGTTAGGAGAAACTTAAAAGCCTATTACAAGAATGAAGATCATTCAAGAATGAAAATATGTCTCAGTAATAGAGCATTTGCCTTGAATGTATGAGGACCTGGGTTTGATTCCTGATATTCCTCTCTTAATCCATCTACCTCCCCCTCAAAACAAACAAAAAAACCCAACCTATTTCTTTCTGTGAGTGAACGTATGTTTGAGTACCAATGCTTCTATGCAACCTCAAAGCCTTTCCTTGCTCACTTGGACCTTGTTTTTCAGCTCTGATTCCAAATGAAAATGTTTGAGAGCTTTGACTCCACAGCCACAAGATCTGGCCTGGATCTTTGGGCTGAAATTTGTTCCTGTCTGCCAAATCCAGACCAAGAAGATGGAACCAACAACACCTTCTCAGACTCCTTTGTGGATTCTTACCCTGCAGGCACAGGCCTGAGGGAGCCCCCCGACTTTGCTGTACAGCAGGCCTCAAAGCCTTGGGCTCCCTTGCAGGATTCAGAAGTGTATTTAGCATCTCTAGGTAAGTTGGTGGTTTTTTAAAAAAAATTGTAAACTAGGGGTTTAAAGTAAGTTCACTTAAGTTTTCTTAGGTCAAAATTAGGTTTTTGGGCCACACCCAGTGATGCGCTGTAATTACTCCTGGTAGTGCTTAGGGGGTCCCGGAGCAATAGCGTAGTGGATAGGGTATTTGACTTGCATGCGGTCGACCTGGTTTTGATTCCTCCACCCCTCTTGGAGAGCCGGGCAAGCTACCAAGACTATTCCGCCTGCATGGCAAAGCCTGGCAAGCTACCCATGACTTATTCGATATGCCAAAAAACAGTAACAAGTCTCACAATGGAGATTTTACTGGTGCCCACTCGAGCAAATCAATAAACAATGGGAGGACACTGCTACAGTGCTACAGTGCTTAGGGGAC